ACTTCTTCTTCCTGTCTGGCGCTATTTGCTGGAATCCCTTCCTACCAGAGCCAGACCTCTATTGCAGGGTCCAGTAGCTAAAAGGTTAATGCTGGGAGCAACAGGACTCTCCAAACCACCCTGGCCAAGACCTTGGTCTCACCTATTCTTAGGAATTCCCGAGTGTGGATTAGAATATGCAAGTCTGAGTCTGCCTGAGTCACAGCTGTAACTGAACTTCCAGTGAATTTCTTGGTTCCTCTTAGTTTTCCCATCTACAGACAGACCTACAGACAGGGTTACCTTGCCGGGTTTGCCATAAGATCACGTGGTTGACGGGCCCTTACACTTTGGATTGTAATAACCAGTTTTTGCCAGTTTTGAAGAAGATTTTTAAGTGTGCCAGGATTCTGAGGGAATTCCAGGTGGAGAAAGTGCTCATCTGAGCCCCTAAATGCTGGCATTGTTGCTGGCCAGCCCTGCCATATCCAGAAGCCAGAAGTGGCGAGGATGGGGGGTGGGCACATTTCCCAAAGCCGGGGCACTGTCCTAATTTGCAGCAAACTTCTGAAAGACTTAACTGATCTGAAATCTCTCAGGATGTGTGAGAAGGCACAGTTTGCTTTGCTTTGTTTTTCCATACATCTCCCCATTAGACCAGTGAGCATGAAGGTCGAAAGGCCTTCTGAGAATCCCATTTTCTTGGAAGCTCTTAAGAGCCCAGGCACTATTCCCTGGAAAATATGAGGTTCTTGGGGGATTTTTAGAAGCTTAAACTTTTCCATCAAAGTTAAAATATCTAGAAACTCCTTCCTGGGAAGCATCGTCAACACCTTCTTAATTGGCCCAGTTGGCATCATCTCAAGGCTGTGGTTTCTAATTCAGATCCTGGCATGATACCAAGTCCTCCTCTGAGGATTCAGTCTCCTTCTGGGATGGAAGATAAACAAGAACCTCCAGCCTGTGCTTCAGAGTTGGAGAGAAAGAAAAGGAGCCTGGCTGTGGGGTGCTGCATAAATCATGCTTACGCTGCTTTTAGGAAGTGCATTTCTCTCCAGGAAATCATCGCCCTCAAGGGAAATTCTTTGCCTTCCCCTTTGCCTCCATCCCCACAGTGAGTGAGAGAGCAGCTATAAGATGACTTGATCTTCTTTGGTCTGAGCTCAGACGGTCAAGTCTGGAGGCCAGAAAGCTTCTGTGTTTGCATCCAGATGAGTGAGAGCTTCAGAGCTGAAGAAGAAGAAACTGACAAACACACACACACACACACACACACACACACACACACACACACACACACGCGCACACACACACACACACACACTCACATACACATATATGCACTCTTACATAAACACAAATTCACATACACATATCACATACACATAAAAACACATACACAAACACATACACACAGACGCTCACGTACACACATACACTCTCACACACATATACACACAGACTCACATACACACAATCACATACACACAGACATGCACACTCTCACACAAACACATACACACACTCTTACCCACACATACACCTACATAGACACATACACACACTAACATACACACATTCTCATACACACTCACAGACACTCACATACACACACTCCACACTCTCACATGTACACACATACATACACACACTCATATATACATACATACACACACTCATATATACACACATGCACACATATACATACATGCTCACATACACAGACTCACATACATACATATACACACACTCTCACACAAACACATATACACACATTCATATATACACATGCTCACATGCACACACATACACACACACTCTCACAAAACATACACACATTCACGTATACGCATGCTCACATGCACACACATACACACACACTCTCACACAAACACATATACACACACTCACATATACACATGCTCACATGCACACACACACACACAAACACATATACACATGCTCATATGCACACACACACACTCTCACACAAACACATATACACACTCACATACACACATGCTCACATGTACACACACACTCTCACACAAACACATATACACACTCACATGCACACACACACACAGACATCCCTCTTGGAAAACAAAGCTGCTCCCCTCCTTGGGGCTGCAACCAAGGCCAGTTTCACCAGGGGCCACGCCTTCCGGAGTTCCTTTACTTCCCCCGACACACCCCCTCACCCCCCCTCACCTTATTCCTTCCCCATCTGAATTCTGAAGAAAAGTCCCAGGAAGATGGGTAAGATGTTTACAGCTAAGCGTTCCTTCAGATTCACAGAAACTCATTGTTTGGCTCTTGGTCTCAACCAACACAGGGCACAGCAATTCAAAAGGAGAATTGGAGGAGCCGGCCTCAGGGGACAGCTCACCGCAGTGTTTCAGAGAAGAAGACCGAGATCCACCCTGTGCCTCCTCCCGCCCGCCCGCCAGCCCTGCATAACCCTTCGCGCTCCTGAGCCCCCACCCTGGAGCGTCAGCAGCAGCTCCTCTCTGTTCCCAAGCTGTGGGTCTTGAATAAACTTGGATCTTTGCTACCTAACTCTCCCTTAAGATACACCCTTTTATGTCCACAGTTGACTGCAGGGACGGAGTGACAGCGGACGGGGACGGCAGGGTCCTGGCCAAACTCTCTAAGATGGGTCATGGACATGACTGAAAGATATCCTTGAAAAATATTATGTGCTTTTGGAAACTCAAATGTCTCTCAAAGTATATATTGTATAGAATATGTACATGTATATCGGACATGCTATTCTAAACATATGTATATGGTAGCAACAATAATAGGGAATCTATGAGCATCATAAAATAATGAAACATAATGGTAACTTAGGATAAACTCCCAATACTCAATCGTTAATTACTTTTGCACTGGTAGGATGGCTCAGTGGGTAAAGGCACTTACCACACACGCCAGGTGCCCTGAGTTTGAGATCTCCAGGACCCACATGGTCGAAGGAGAGAACCAACTCCTATAAGCTGTCCGATGACTTCCACATGAGCACCCTGGCATGCCCCCACCAATAAATAAATACAACAAAACATTTTAAGGAGGAACTCAGTCACTTTTTTCTTTCACTAATTATTATCATTCAAATTATTTTAAAGCCGCCAATATTGCTATTTGCATGCCTGTTAGACCAGAGAAAGTTCAAAACTTCCCTTTGTGAGTGCCTGCACAGGAAACCGATTTGACTACGTTTCATTCAAGACATAAACATTTGACTCAGCTAAACAGTGTTTTTGTCCAAATTCTATTTCACAGGTTAATGACCAAGTATCAAAACCAAGACTCTAATTCCGCTATCGAGACAGAAGAAAAGGATGGCCTGGGTTTTGAGTGCTCTGTGTGCTGACCTTGGCTCTCCCGGGAACGAGCTGACTCGGCTCGAACAATTTACCACTCACAAGTTTATCATTTCCAACTAGCAATAAGAGTATCTATGTCAGGGTGACGCCAAGATGAGAGGGAAAAGGGAATGCAAAATTTCAGCACAGCCACGGATGCATGGAGAAGCACCCTGCAAATGCTAACGGTGCCGTGCCTGCAGAACGGGTCACAGAAAGTCCTTACAGTGCAATCTTTGAAAACTGGATTTTGCAACTGCGGCCCAGAATGTGGAATTTGCCCCTTTGATTGCCCTTGCCACCTGCTCCTCATCAGTTCCCAAGACTCAGTGGGACAAGTGGCAGTGCCGTTCTCAGAAGGAATACAGCTAAAGAAGAGCAAGTGTGTGTCCAAGGCAATAATAGCCCAACGCAGATCAGGGAGAGCATTGCCTTTCAAGTCATTTGGGAATTGAAAACTCAAATCAAGTATAATCTCAAACATTAATAAAATAATTTTTAAAAAGACAAACAAAAACCCCAGCCAAGGCAGCGAGCCTTCCACATAGGCGAATCATGGGCACACAGACGGCTGATGACGTCAAATTAGCTTGCATGTGTGACCCTCAGCCCCACCAAGTGCCGTTCCATTTGGAGCCTGAGACAGAGAGAGCCAGGTGACTCCCAGTAAGACCGACATGGAGAAACTGACCTAGGCTCAGGTGTGTTTTAGTCTCCCTGTCCCAGCCCTGACTTTCTGTAGCAACACACACCACTTAGGACATGTATGAAGGAGGAGAGCTTTGTCTATCCGCTTACTCAGAGAGGAATGCTCGGTTTACCTGGATCTAAGCAACCATGCCCTGGGCTCTGAGGACTAGCTCACCGTTGCAGTACTTCCCGGTAAGGAGGTAGATAATCGTGTACAATCTTTCCCGCCTCCCAGGGGCCGGCACATAGGTGAACAAACACAAACATCATTTTATTGTGACCTCATATCTAAATGACAAGGAAAAAGCTTCCTGTTTTCATTTTTCCCTTTGTAGGTATGTGGGTTTTGTCTGTTTGTTTGTTTTGTTTTTTGAGAGTCTGGCCCTGTAGCCCAGGCTGGTCCGGAACTTGTTATGTAGCCTAGCCTGGCCTCAAGCCATGATTCTCCAGCCTCAGTTTCAGAAGAGCTGGGACTATGGGCATGCGGCACCTCGCCTCTTACCTTGCTCCTCCCCTCAGTATTGATTTTTCTAAGTTAGCAGAAACTGGTTTCGGAGAATAATAGACGATAAGATCAGTAGAAACTCCATGGTAGGGTATTATAAAAATCCACTCACAGAAGGTAATGTGAAGGGGGGGGAGCTTGGAGAAGAGAGAGGGTGAAACTCACTTTAACTGGAAGTCCGTGTATAAAGAATGAATATAATAAACCAAAAAAGTCTGTATAGCATTTTTTTTTTTTAAATCAATGTGGAGCTAACCATCGGGAAATTTAAAACCTTGAAATTTAGAGAAATGGTATCTAGAAAAAAGGAACCAGCTCAGGAAGAAGTAAAGCTGGTGCTTTTCGGTAAAATCACAAATTGATCTTAATTTCTTAATTTTTTCCTATGTGTATGTATGTATTAAGTGACAATTTTTGTTAATTATGGGAAAACCATTTTTATTGGTACATTTTAATAGCGGAGAAGAAAAGACAGTGGAGGCAGGGATCTGAGGACGTAAAGCACTGATAGAGTACTTGCCTAACAGGTACAGGGTTCTTAGTTTGGTTCCCAACATTGAAAAGAAAAAAAAATAACCTGTCTTTCTGTGATGGAGATGATTCTGTGCCGAATATCAGATTTAGTTCAGTGATAGAGTGCTTGCCTAGCAAGCGCAAGACCCTGGGTTCGGTCCTCAGCTCTGATTAAAAAAAAAAAAAAAAAAAGGACAAAATAATAGAAACCGCCCTGGAAGATTCTGTGGAGTTCTAGAAACAAGCGAACTGCCACATGGCGTGTCTTCTCAGACTGGATCCCGGAAGGAGTTGAGGGTGGCCGGTCTCGTGCCTGTATGGAAACCCGCCCCCATGGCTCCCTCCTGTACGTCTCTTTCCTTGTCATGTCCCCGCCATGCTTACAGAAGTTTAGTGCTCCTCATCCTCATTGCTTGCCAAAGCATCATCTGCTTTCCCGGAACAAAAATGATTCCTTTAATCTTTGCTCTCAAGGCATAAAGCAAGCCACCCCTCCAGGTTATGAGGACTATCTTTGACTATGAGTCAAGGTTTGCCGCGCAGTTTTATGGCATTTTTACTGATAAGATAAGCAGCGACCTTGACACTGAAGGTGTGCTTGCAGATGGCTTTTTTCCCAGGACTGAATCAGAAACTTGGATGTGAGTTTATTTTTCTCTGCCATGTGAAGCTTAGGGTGATTAAACCCGGCCCGAAGAGTGCCGGGGAGGGCGGACCCTGTGGAAGAAGAAAGAGAGATTCCACAGCTCCTTGGGTAGCCAGCCAATGCTCACAGCTGGAGGTGAAACAAAAACAAAAAATGCCCGCAAGCATCCTTTTCCCACATTCAACTGCACCCTTGGATGAGGATGCTCCTTGGATGAGGATGCTCCTTGGATGAGGATGCTCCTTGGATGAGGATGCTCCTTGGATGAGGATGCTCCTTGGACGAGGATGCTCCTTGGATGAGGATGCTCCTTGGACGAGGATGCTCCTTGGATGAGGATGCTCCTTGGATGAGGATGCCCCTTGGATGAGGATGCCCCTTGGATGAGGATGCTCCTTGGATGAGGATGCTCCTTTGCTGTGTCGCTCTGCTGTGCTGTGCCAGGTCTGAAAGATGGACAGAAGGGATTCAGAGCCGAGGAGTCCAAAGACCCAAGGCTGGAAGATGGGGCAAGAGAATGAGATCAGTTAGAGCTGCATAATGGAACTATCCTGGGATCAGGGGAATAATGACCCACATTTTAAAGGAAGCCTGCCCACACCCTCACTCAGCCTTGAGTCATACTGTGAGATTCCCAGCAAAGTGTGTCATAGGCGTTTGTGGTGGCTAGTTTTATGTCAACTTGACACAAGCTAAAGTCGCCTCAGAGAAGGGAACCTCAATTAAGCAAAGGCCTCCAGAAGACAGGGCTGTAAGCAAGCCTATAGAGCATCTCTTAATTAATGATTGGTGGGAGAAGGCCCAGCCCATTTCCAGTGGTGCCATCCCAGAGCTGGTGGTCCTGGGTTCTAAAAGAAATCAGGCTGAGCAAACCATGGGAAGCAAGCCAGTAAGCAGCACCCCTCCACAGCCTCTGCATGCCAGGTTGCTGCCCTGTTTGAGGTCCTGCCCTGTTCCTTGGATGATGAACAGCGATGCGGAGGTGTGAGCCAAATAAAGCCTTTCCTCTCCAACTTGCTTTCTGGTGGTGGTGTTTCATTGAAGCCTTAGGAACCCTGAAACTGTGTTATGCCCAGTGCCCTCATCTTCTGATCAAGTTCTCCCATGGAGAAGTTTGCTTCCTCAGTTCGCTTGAATAAAGCACCATCAAAACCTACAGAATGGAGTCTCTGAGTGTGTCAGGGGGACCATGCTCTGGAAAACTAAGGTTATGGTCACAATCACAGCGTTATGAAGGGTTGACACAGAATGATCTTAAAGTTATACCCAACATCATTTGGGCATATCACTGGGAGAAAAACCGCAAGGATAGAGGGGAGATAAAGGCCTCTTGGCATCCCTTTAAAGAATGCAAGGAGCCTTCCCGGGCCCCCTTGCCAGAGTAAGCCCTGGCATAGTAGCAAGCATGGTCCAGAAGCAGTGCCTGGTGACTGGAGGGAAAATGGTAAGTCAACAGGAGGTAGACTCCAGGTCTGAGAGAGAAGAGGAAAAAGCAATAAATGGAAATGCCATGGCTCTGTAGGCAATGGAATCTATTACTCAGAGATTAAAATGTCATAAGGCGTATACGTCAGCTCCAGACCTTGCAAAATGTTTTTTCCATCATAATTACTCCTGTCGCCAGGAGAGGGGACTTTCCTTTCTCAGGGAGGGGGGCTGACGTACTGGCTGTCTTTTTCTTTGGACCTCAAAACCTGCCTCCTATTTATACAAAATACTAACAACGGCTAACACCAACGAACACTTACCCTGTATGAACGCTTTACAACTTGTCATTCTTTCAATGACTTTGTGAGTGGGCACATTTTATTTCACCCCTACATTACAGATGAAGAAACTGAGTCACAGAGCTATCATGCACCATGTCCTAAGATGTCTGGGAAGAAGAGAATTGGGATTTGAATTCAGCTCATTTGAGGGCTGGGTCTGTAGTTTGGTGCAGAGTGCTTTCCTGGCATGCATGATATACCTACATTCGGGCTCCGGTAGAGTCTTCCACTATCAAGAAAGAAAAGGAGAAAAGAAAAAGTGAATTCAGCTCACCAGTTCCAGAAGGTGGTCCCTGTAATTTCCCCAAACTTCCTTTTTAGAGCCCAATTCTGTCCATGGGAAAGCAGAAGCACTATAAGGTCTCCTAGAGATTATCTTGTTGGCGTTTCCCTTTTTGCTCGCGTATTGAGGAAGAAGAGATGCCAATATCTGGAGGGTGGAGGGTGGAACAGGCGTGTAACCACAGCTGGGGTTAGTTAAATAAATTGCTATGATTCACAGCTGATGGCTAGTCATTAACTAACCTTTAGGATAATGTGGCTGTCTTTTTCTTTGGACCTCAAAACTACCACATCCTTTAGTTCCAACCCTTGGGTGGCAGAGGCAGGCAGATCTCTGTGAGTTCAAGGCCAGCCTGGTCTACATT